TAAAATGGAAAACTTTGAAAATTTATTTTGTTTTTAAGTTATTTATTTTTACTTTTTTTATAAAATGGGGACTGTTAGTTTTAGGCAATGTGTGTTTTAATTTTAGTTGATCAACTTTGAGGTTCAATAAATAATCATAGATTTTAGATAGTGTGTGTTTCCTTTAATTATTTTGAAGTCAAGTAATGTGCTTTTCTTTTAAAAAATCTCTCACTTAATATGTGAGCGTGTTTACTCTACAAAACTTGTCAGTGAACTCTGAGGGCAAAAAATTAAACAAATACATAAAATAATCATTCATTAACCATAGTTGAGTTAAAATATTCAATCAATCGAGATGTAGATTTTAGGCCAAATCGCCCAGTCCCATCTATGATAACAGCTATGAAAATAGTTATCTATTGTATATATGCTCTTACATTTTAACCACTTAAACCACTGTGTAATTATGTTCTGAGACGTCCTCTTCTGTATAACTCAAGAGAATGATGAAAAAGCACATGCTTGTACAATTTGCAGTAACAAAATTGCAACTGAGAGAAAGAGAGAAACCAAAAATACATAAACATTGGCACAATATTGTGCAATGAAGCCTATTTCTTTTTTTTTTTTTCAGTGGACTGACCTCTACACTCAGCAAAAGTGTCTCTGCACATTCCTTTATCGTGCAACCGATAATGGTGGTGCAAAAACATTTGACCCAAAGGGCATCACAGTGGGATGGCCTGGCTATGGTTGTTGCCTCTTCTTTCTCCCGGGATGGCCAGAAAGGGCGAGGGTGTGATTTGTTAAATGCGAGTCAGCCCCTGCATTGTGTCCTCATCACGGGGACATCTGGCACAAGCAAGCCGGTGTTTTGACTGAGGTCTCCATCTCCATTCTGAAGCAGTGGGCTGTACTGCATTGAAACACTCCTTTGGCTTTCTCATGGTAATGCTGCAAACTACAGGAGCAGATGTGAAACATTTGGTTCTGTTCTTGTTCACTTGTAAAGAAATAATGCGCTGCTTTTACTTTCATTTCACCATGCTGTGTTTCCCTCCTTATTAAAAAAGAAAGACAATATGGTGACAAGAAGGAAAAAAAAAACGATAGTCGTCCTTGGTGGCCTGAAGTGCGCTGATGAGGTCCGGGTGTAATCGGAGTTAGAAGAATGACGGATTAAGGGAAAAGCAAATGAGGAGCCAAATGTTTCCGAAATCTGTCAGTGATGTATCTGTAAAGATAAACGGGGGTGAAAACTGTGGTGGAACGAACACTGACATTATTTTTTGTCTCTCACTTATCCATCCACACAAATGACAAAGAGCACACACCCTGTAGATTTGGAGATGACGTTTATAGATTTAGTCATGCAAGCCTGAAATAATCTTATTAAACTCTTACCATGGCTATGTAAACACACATTTGTATGTAAGATCAAATAATGTATCAGTTTCATAATTTTTTTTTCTTTATCAAATGGCTTTCTACCATGTGCACAGCACTAGTTTAAATTATGCATTTTCCCAAACATTTAACAAAGTATTGTGGCCGGATTTCTAATTGAATCTAATTTGCTAAGAAATTCACTGTGAAATCATATTTAAAATGAAAAAAAAAAGTACTACCACCTTTATTTTTGAGACTGTTGAACAGTTCAGTTACTTCAAGCCCATAGCCAGGGGGGTTTGGGTGGTTTGGAAGACCCACCCCTCACTGACAAGTTCAGAACATGTCTCATACATGCGCTCATTTGTCCTATTTTAATTTGCTATGCCATCAAACATAGTAAAAATAACCCATTAAAGAGCTTTAAAACCAAGCGGAATCCTCTGTTGGCTGTCGCTTCGATGTGACTTAAATTAATCAGTTTTGGCCAATGCTAACAAATATTTTCATTTTACAATCTGACTTTAGATGAGTCATCTCTCGCTACTGCACTGATTTTAAACAAAGAAAACATTTTACAGATAAATTTTATTCTAAATCTTGGACCTTATTCTTGAAACAAAAAAAAAGCAATTAAAGGGTGTGAAGCACAAAAAAGTGGACTATGTTGAAATTGATGTGAATACTATTTTGGCTACTGTTGTTGTCCATGAATGTTTAAATTAATTTTTTTTTACAAGAGAGAATAGAAAAATTGTGAAGCTCTACATTATTATTATTATTATTAGAAGTAGTAGTAGTATCGTTATTATTATTATGTTTTAAATATTTTTTTATGCAAATGGCCAAATTAGGGAAAGTTGAATGTGCTGGCCAGTTTGTTATTGGCCTAATAAATGACAATATACTACAGTTTTTTCTGATGATATACGATGTAATAAATATGTATTTTAAAAATAAGTATTATTTTAAAGAGCCCATATTATGGGTTTTTGAAAATTCCCCTCCATGTAGTGTGTAACACAGCTCTAAGTGAAGCGAAGTATCCAGCTAAGGCTTAAATCTGTAAGAATACAGTGTTTAAAACGGTTGATTCATCTATAAAAGAGTCGACTCATAGTGCTTCAAACGAGTCGCCTTGATACCGACTCATTAGGTGTTTCGCCATGACGTACGAACGAAACCAAGTTATTCACGTGCACGCGCAAACCCGGGAGATTTCAAACCTGAGGCCCCGCCCTCTGACGCAGAAACCCAGACACACACCCACAAACACACGCACACCCACAAACACACGCACACAAACATGCCGGTCGATTGAAGTCACACTGCAGATGGATATATTGAGTCTCTACCCAAAGATGAAACCTCAGCATTATAACCAAGCAGTTGGAAACTTCTGGAAGCTACATGCTACAAAGAATACTTCATCTGAGTTTGTTAAAGGAAGGATCAGTAAAGAGTAACTGATGGACGTCAGGATGGGTTTCTTCCATTTCTCAAGTGTAAGTACGTGCGGTTAAAGTTGTTGCCTCGTTTACTCTTGCTTGCAAATGTATTTAGTTGTGATTTGTTACTTGTAACCGAGTGTACTGTATCAGGTTAACTGGATATTTTATCTTATCGCGTGCAAAGTCACGTTAAAAACGCGACGCGTGCTGTTTGTTTATGGAGCTCCGTGCTAGAGTTCTGCTCCCGCGATTTATTCGGAAATTTATTCCCGCGCCGCAGAAATCTGGCGCGGGGACAGCCGCGGGAATAAATTTCCGAATAAATCGCGGGAGCGGTCGGTAACGGGTTTAATTTGGGACGGGAGCGGGCTGTCTAGCAATATCACGGATATTGCTATGCGAATTAGAAAGAGAGAGTCTGCGTGGTGCTTGTGTGTGTGTTAGTGCGCACGCGCGCGTATGAGAGAGAGAGAGAGAGAGAGAGAGAGAGAGAGAGAGAGAGAGAGAGAGAGAGAGAGAGAGAGAGAGAGAGAGCGAACGAACGAACGACAGCTTGGCTGTCTGGACTGTATACTGGGTGATTTTTGGTTGTGTTCTCCGCTCTAGCGGGACCGGGCGCGGCGGGCAGAAAACGGAGCGGGTTCTCAGGCTAAAACCTGGCGGGTGCGGGCGGAAGCGGGAGCGTTGTCATCCGGAGGTGTGTGTGTGTTTTTGTGTGTGTGTGGTATGGCCAGTACACGACTGTCTCCTTCGTTCGGTTATCCGTGGCACTATCCACTCGCCATAGTGTGGCAGCTAAAATCCACGTCTATACTATCGAGCGTGTATGAACTGTGATTACTTTTTAAATTGCTGATTAGCTATTGGCCATTTCCCTCTCTGACTGAAGGCAGTCGACCAATCGCGACAGACTGTCATCGGTCCAATCAGCGCAGATTAGCTCCGCGCTAAGGAGGGGTTTGGGAACAAATGAATCACTGGACGATTCATACAGGAGTCGCTGGGATAATTAGGTAAAAATAAATGCAGATTATAAGACCATGAAAGTGTTTTTTGACCTTGCATGCATATTAGACTGTTGTTGGAGACCCTTACAACCAGGATATGACCCTATTTCATGTATAATATGGGCTCTTTAAATTTCTTCATTATAAATTTTTAGGAAAAAAATTTGGGATATCAAAAAGTGTGGTTATGATAATCATCCAGTAAGCTTATTTAGCTAAAAATAGTGCATAAAATCTCAAAAAAATGCCGAATATTAATCTGATAATTAAATAAAAATGAGACGTATAACTGCACGTATAATCTACTTTTTTTGAGAGAAAAGAAACACCCCTTTTAACAGGCTGGCTACGGACCTGTATTTACTGCAAAATATGAGGCTACATGTACAGCACATAAATATATGTACATATATACAGTTGAAGTCAGAATGGTTAGCCCCCTTTGATTTTTTCTTTTTTAAATATTTCCCAAATGATGATTAACAAAGCAAGGGAATTTTTCACAGTATGTCTGATAATATTTTTTTCTTCTGGAGAAAGTCTTATCTGCTTTAAATTGGCTAGAATAAAAGCAGTTTTTAATTATATATATATATATATATATATATATATATATATATATATATATATATATATATATATATATATATATATATATTAATTAAGGTCATTAATAAATCAGTCATTGGAAATGAGTTATTAAAACTATTATGTTTAGAAATGGGTTAAAGAAATCTTTTCTCTGTTAAACAGAAATTAAGGAAAAAAATAAAAAGGGGGCAAATAATTGAGGGGTGCTAATAATTTTGACTTCAACTGTATAATTTTTAGTCATTATACGGTTAAATGTATTAACTTTTGAGAACATGCTGATTTTACTCAAGCAATCTCTACAACCTGCATTTGTTTGCCTGTAGAAGCAAGGGCTGAAAAGTGACATTTGCTTTGAACACGAGCGTGACCGTTGTTCAACTAAACTGACAGGTGGGTGGAGTCTGAAATTCTTATCTTACATATCACTGGTCAATTTCATGCAAACAACATGCACTCGTGGAACCTGATTGGCCCGCGACGTGTCATTCACTTCAAGTGACGTCATTCTGAAGTTAGATACAAGGCACACACGTGTGGGCTCCTAGTGTAATGAAAGTTTATCCGAATTTTACAAATCACCTAAACCAATGGATGGATTTTAATGATCCTTTTTTATTTTTATTTTGGATTTATTCATTTATTTTTGTATAGCCTAGATTAATTTAGATTAAAACAAACTATTAAAAGAATATTTAGCACAGTGACTTAAAACTCGCATTTATCTAACTTAATTATCAGATTAATAACTACTTGCTTTACAGCAGCTAACATTACATGCATGCGCAAGGGTGTTTGGGAGACCGGCGCGCGCGAACTCTAATCCACCTTTGATGCTCTCGAGCTTCAAACTCTGCCTTATTTTTGATGGCAAGACTGAATAATGCCAGTCTAGCATGGCTGTCTCTCCAACTTATGCCACCCGTGGACCGACATGGCATTTAGCCGCGTCTTTTCGGACCCTCCGTCCAAGAGCATCTTTAAGACCTTCGCGATCATGTTGCTGTCTATCCTCGCGTCCTTATACTTTCTCCACTGCCTCACGGAGCGATGCGGGACCTGCATGCCCACGGAGAGAAGAGACGCGGGTCCTGCGGAGGGATTTTACGCCATGAAGCTTAAAGATTTTGGGTCTGTGAGGAGAAAAAGACTTCTGCAGAAAAGGACTTCCACGAGACCTTTGGTGATGAGGCACCACAGCTTGCACCAAAGTGTCAGTGCGGAGGATTTACCTGAAATTGAGGCAGATAAGCGCATGTTTCTGTCACGCGTAAAGCTGTCGAACTCTTTGAATGTGGATTTGGAGACTGGAGGATCGTATTTTGATACAGGTAAACTGAGCTCGTTAGGTGAGGGCAGCAAGAAGCTTCCTCAGGCGATCATCATCGGCGTGAAAAAAGGCGGGACGCGCGCACTGCTGGAGTTTCTGCGCGTGCATCCAGATATACGCGCGGTCGGAGCGGAGCCGCACTTCTTTGACCGGAATTATGAGAACGGACTGGACTGGTACAGGTGAGTTAAGTTACCCATCACATGATGATGTGCCCAGTTACACAATACACGTGATGTATAATATCTATCTATCTATCTATCTATCTATCTATCTATCTATCTATCTATCTATCTATCTATCTATCTATCTATCTATCTATCTATCTATCTATCTATAGGCTACGCGCGCGCACACATACATTACTAGGGCTAGGCTATAATAGTGTTATGCTTATAATAATTTGTTTGTTTGTTGTAACACTGGTGTTTTGTTTTTTAAGCTGTTGTGAATTATGTAAACACCTTTTTAAAACAAAAAAGCCAAACTTAAATGTAAACTAATCTAAAAGTTTTTTTTTAATAATCTTATATAACTGATAATTGTCTAATTATAGTATGTCTAATTTGGTAATAATAAATATATATATATATATATATATATATATATATATATATATATATATATATATATATATATATATATATATATATAAAGGACGTAAAAAGTAAAAAAAAATATTTAAAAAAATATTTATTTATTGAAAAATTAATTCAAATAAACCCACCTCTTATCATTAAAATTATGTAACAAGTTCATTAAAATTATGAATGCTTCACACTAACCACTTCAGCCTTTTCTCAACCAATTGGTATATTAGATTAAAATCATTTTTTAAAAATCATCAAATTAACAGCTGAGCATAAGCTAAAAAGCATTCAATATTATATAATGCAAAAAGAGCTTTTTGAGGTCAATAATACTGGATGTTTTACTTAAAAATAAAAGATGCAGGAAGGAAAAAAATAAAGAAACTAATATTTCACTCAAATAACAGTTTACTTGTTACAGTTTCACTTTAAACTTTTTAACTAAGTTAACGTGAAACAAGTGCAAATTTAAGACTCTGAATTAAATATTATAATAGTAGTTTTGTAGTATTTTTATGTCTCAAAGTTGCTAAAGAATATTCAGTACGATAACCAGTTTTTGGTGTACTTTTATTTGTACTGTAACTAGTCTTCTGCATCTGCATGGTGTGTGTGTGTGTGTGTGTGTGTGTGTGTGTGTGTGTGTGTGTGTGTGTGTGTATGTGGTTTACTCGAATATCTTTAAGGCTGCTGCTAGAGTTTAACAGCAGCTTGTCGTTTCTGTGTAATGGGGCATATCAGACATCACAGCTATGTTATTAAGAGGGATTATGGCGGTAATGAAAGGTTACCTGTCTGTCTCTGCAGGTATATTTCACCAGCAGATTTAGCTAACATACCAGGTCATGCAAAGGTGCAAAGACAAACTTGCCCTCCTCCAAGGGATTACGCCTTCCTGTACTTCCTCCTGTTGAAAGCACAAATAAAACACAATGAATAAATGCTAAATTTCTGATTATTCCATCTATTCTTCGTCTTTCACAGTATTCTCCACTCTCATTCATTTGACGTGCTTTGTTACATGTAAATGAGAATCCCTGTTTATTTAGAAGAGTTGGCCAGGATTCTTGGAAATGTGACACAAGGCTCGGAAAACAGGCTGTGTTGCTTTTTTACAATGCGAAGTAGGCAAAAATTCCACATTCAATGATAACAATATATATTTCGATATAAGTTGTTAACCCTTTTGTGCCGACATTTTTAAAAATTATTTTATGCATATATCCTTGTTAACAGTGTCCTATATGAACATGTTTTGCATTTATTTTCTCCAGGAATTAGATTTTTTTCAAGAAATCACATTTGAATATGCAGCAACTATAGTTGCCAGTGGGCAAATATGTTGTAAGCACCGCTCATCTAAAAATTAAATAGGAGAAGAAAATTTGTCATCCTAACTTTAAACAATTGATTTCAACAGATTAATTCATATTCATAAACAATTTTATTATGTTTAAAATTTGAAAACTAATTGATGTGAACTCAGCAAAACTATTTCTCACAGTTTTATGAATACGAAAACACAAAGAACTAATCCATTTGTCTTACAGTGATGAAATACACACTAGTTTCTCCAACAAATTACTGTATGTCCATTATAGATTATACCATGGATAAAAAGCAGCGATTTAGGCAATACTCATGTCTGTGTCGACAGCAGGGCTTAAGATTGGGATTGATTTTGGTTGTAGTTTTGTGATTTTCTTCAGTGATGCTGCTTTTTAACAGGAGGAGTTCATAATTCTCTGTGCTATTTTAAATCTTTGTGGGAGAGGGACCAGTAGGAGAAGTTAATGTTACTCTGAAGATTTAGCTGTGTATCAAATTATGTATAAAAAAGTCTACTTTAAAGTAAGGTTATTAGTTAAAGGGTTATTTTTAAATGGGTTATTATGGAAAAAAAACATTAAACAAGGCCATAACCTTGATTTATTAACTTATTAACACATTATTCGCTAATTCGCCATTATTTATGTACTTACAAGGTATTTGCCCACTGGCAACTTTAGTTGCCGCTTAAACATTTGTCAAATTATACACAAAATCATAGATCTCTTGAAAGATTTGTTTTGTTTGGATGAATCTAGAGACCTTTATGATTAAGTTAATATATATTTGTAAACAAAAATATTTAATTAACATGAAAAATGCCTTTATTTTGGGGGGTTTTCCTCCATTTTGCATCCTGAAATTAAAGGTAGGAAGTTGAAGGCCTCATGTGACAGGAAGTAAATCAATTCCTTCTTTTTCCTGAAATCCTTTATTTGGTTGCTTGCTTGCATGTCATTGAGAAATAGAACATTGATAACATGTACAAAATTACTTGCAAAAGGAAAATGGCAACTGTGAACTTATGCAACTATTGTTGCCGGTGGGCTTAGATGGGTTAACGCTTCCAGATTTAAAAGAGTACCCCAACAATGACTGTCTCTAGTATCACCACACTTTTAGTTTTCAATTGTTGCACATTTCTGCTGTGTGATTGGCTCTTAGTAAAATATGCAGAGGACATCAATGCTATTGACATAAACTTTGATATAATATTGGTTTTGTTGGACCAGCCTTAACGGGAAGGGCTTAAAACGTATATAATTAGAGGTGTAACGATTCACCTGACTCATGATTTGATATGATTCACGATACTGATCTCACGATTCATGATTAATCACGAGTTTTTTACTAAATTATTTGAAACAAATTTAAGGTGAAGAGCCCTTTAACTTTTTTAATTAAATGCTGCACAATTTTTGCAATTTATTATATTTCTTGCTATTGCTTTTTTGAAAATAAATTCCAAAATTAATGAATAATAGAAACTAAATAAGACTCATTATTATAAACAAACTAAAGCTGTGACTGTGCTGAGATTAAAAACTTTTAAACAGAAATATCCGCATATCTATGTTTTATGGCATAAGCTGAAGTCTTTGCACATTTACAACGTCCCGTGCTGATGAGAAAACTTTTTCACTGGGGACTGAGATGGCTGGTGTGGAGAGGAAAACCTTTTCTAGACATGAGAGCAGTGTGTACAGAGGTGGTCAATAGACCCTCTGATGCAGGGGACTGGCCACTGGCATAAAAAAACTAATAATTATATAGGATAGAGACAGGAGTTGAACATGATTATTAAGGTGAACATTTTCTAAACATAATATCTCATTTCTAACTGGTTTATTTTAACTTTGCCATGAAGACAATAATATTTTAGATATTTTTCAAGACACTTCTACACAGCTTAAAGTGACATTTAAAGGCTTTTAGACTACTGAAAAAAAAACTGCTTAAAAAATTAAATAACTGCTTTTATTCTAGCTGAAATTAAACAAAAAAGACTTTCTCCAGAAGAAAAAATATTATCATACATACTGTGAAAATTTCTGTGCTCTGTTAACATTTAAAAAGAAAAAAAAAATCAAAGGGAGGCTAATAATTCTGACTTTAACTGTAAGTATCAGTGATACACTTAAGAAGAGATAATCTTTAACATTTTTAAATATTCAATAATAACATGCAAATTATTAAAGTATGCATAAACTAATTTGAAAAGAAGAGGGTAAAAATAATTCAATACCTGCTTCTGTAACAGAACAACTTTCTCTTTCAGTCTGAAAAACATCTTAACACTTTCGCTATGAAAACACTGATGTACCATCTGATCTCCGTAGCACTCGGAGCAAGCATGGTCCACATGGTTTGGTTTCATAATAGTTTTTTTTTTTTAAGTAAAGAGACGTCTGTGACAGTAGTTTTTCATTGTGCTGACGGTGCATGTGCATCATATTCATTATTCTGTTAGTGTATTTAAATGTCTTTTCACAGTATTTGCACACAGTTTGTCTAGCACACTTCACCGCTGTCATTTTACTCTGCGCCCCACCTCTTGCTAGCCATTTATGTGCAGGTAAATTGAGTTTGCACCTGTAAACACAGTGCCTCCTTTGTTCAAAACATGTATCACCATTCACTCAACATTTTAACCGGTTTGATTAGTCACATATTTGAATGGATTTTCGACCCACTCACGGTGAATCGTTACATCCCTATACAGTAAATAATAAATCAACAATAACATCAAAATGATGTATTTGAAATTACAGCATGCTAATTACTCCATTTACAATATAAATAAATGATACAAATACAGCCAAATGATTCAAGTAAGCAAAATAAACTGCTAACAGAAAAGTTAGCAAAATGGATGAGTGTCAACTTTCTACAAGACAGGAAAAAATAAAGAAATAAACGGCCAATGTTTTTCTCTCTCGCTCTCTTCACGAATGAGCTGAAAGACGTTTCCTGAATTTATTCACGAGGCGCGGCAGTTTGATGGATCTGTGCAAATGTCTTAAAAATAAAGAAAACAAACATAAAATTAGTTTTGCGGCATAAATTTTCGCCCTTTGTCAAACCCTCTGGGAATAATTGCATTTCTCCCGACCGCTGAAGTTATGAATGGGCTCTGTTTTGTTTTTTTCTTCTCTCCCTGCACTAATCACTGTGTCCAATTTGCTGGAATTATGTGACTCTTTTCAGGCTCGGCTGTGAATGTTTAAACACAGAGACTTCCATCTGCAAGGATGAAGGTCCTT